ATGGACATATACACACTCATTGTCACATTTTTTTCTCTGTGATTTATCATAACATTTTGTGTATATTTCCCTGTGCTATACAGTGTAATCTTGTTTATCTATTCTACAATTTTGAAATCCCAGTCTATCCCTTCCCACCCTCTTTTTTTAATTGTGGGAAATTTCAAACCTCTTCCAAAGTAGAGAGAATAGTGTAAATACCCATTGAACAGCTTCAACAACAATCACACCCATTTCCCTTCCTATGGATTATTTTGAAGTAAATCACAGATATTTCATCCACTTTAGACTGTGTCTCTGAAAAATCATGGATCTTTTAAAAAAATACATACATATGCAGTTGTCAGTTTTAATAATGCGTATGCTGTAGCACCATTATCACGCAGTGGTTCCTGTTGATGCTTGATTATTTCATAGCCTGGATCTCCAACTCTGTAATAGTGGTCTTAGATATTTCTCATAGGCCGGGTTCCCCTGTTTGTAGAAAGAAGTACATTATTAAGACAGACTATTTCTGCCAGGATTAATGACTTTTACTTTCAAATTAAGTTTTTAGTTTCAAAAAAGCAGCATTACATAAGATTCTTAATTTTAAAAATTATTTTTAAAATTCATTTTGTATGAACATATGGACAAACATTTTTTTCCAAAGGGCATCCTTCCTTTTCTTATGCAGATTTAAAATTGTGGATGCAGGTGGCCAATTAAAAAAAAAACACAGCTTATCATTTGCTTTTGGGTTTTTACACAAATAAAAGGCTTGACACTGTGAGGCTCTTTTAAATTAAACGTATTAACCACAAAGCAAGGAACCAGAAGGTAGAATCAAGTAAGCAATATTCTATGTGGGAATAGGTTATCCCCATTAATCTCTAAGATGATGTCTTGATTTCTTCACAGCTCTGCCCTCGTCTCTTATAGTATTAACTTGTTTGTTTACTTTTTTGCCTGTCTAGGCTAAAACTAAGCTCCTTAAAGACAGTCTATAACTTTTGTTTTCCACTCTGTCCTTAGTACCTGGAATAGTTTCTGGCATAAATAATATGCCCAATAAATATTTGCTGAGTGAATGAATGGATCAGTAGATGCGTTTAACACATCTAGCAACTACTTGGGCAAATTTATACAACAGAATGATGGGGGGAAAATGGGATTCTTATTTTGAAATTATCCTTGTTGGTTCCTCCACTGCTTGTGTCTGTAGGGAATCACTTAGATAAGAGTTCACGTGGGGAAGTGGAGCAGCCTTTTGCAGTTTATTTAGAAGAAAGTGGCTTGAAATGGCATCCAAATCAGGAAAAAAGCCAAGGGAAAAAAAAAAAGCAGATACTATGGTGAGAGTGAACCATGGAAGAGCATCACCCTGCCTGGGGATAAAGCTCAACACTTAACCTGCCCCAGACAGAAGAGAGACTCTTAGGACTCTAGGACGTTTAACGTGGCATGGCACTTTTCTCTTGGTGGAAATGTCAGTGAACTATATTCCCATTTATACTTCTGTGTCTAGAAGGCATGTTTCAGCACAGCTTTTGTTTTAATTTATTTGAAGTACCTGTGATGTTCCTTTTTCTGCTAGTGCAAATGAGGGAAAATGTTTCTTATTACAGTTTCAAAATCATCTACAGCAGGTAAGAAAAATACGCTTTGAGAGTACTATCTTCAAAGTGTAAAAAAAATCTTCAGGGTCACTTACAATCTCACATTCCTAAATCACTGTGCATGAAAGAGCCACATTGCTGTACCTGTCACCTCACTGGCAAGGTAATGTCAGCTAGGATCGAGTGAGTTTGCAGCATTATGTATGCAGCAGGGTCCTTGTCCCACTATGTAGGTCACAACCATGTTCATTTATCCTGTAAACGCAGAATACCTAGTGCGTGACAGACTCTGGAGTTAGGAAGATGAAGACGCCATCCTGGCTCACGGGGGCAGCAGATAGGGAAGAGAGAAGAGTGAATGGGATGCGGTGCATCAGCATTTTACCAAGTCTGTTGAGTTGTGGGGCAGTCCTGCCCCTCATTTAGACAAGCCTGCCCTCATATAGTGTCCAGATTAAATTCTTTCAAGATGAGGATTAGAAACAAAATGAAAAACAAGAAAGCCCTTATGTTCTTTAGTGAAGAAGAACCAGGAGAACGCATGTTTCTTTGTCTTGCTAGGAAAACAGGTTTGAGCTAGATAGGTCGGCG